TTTTTAAAATTTATTTTTTTAAATATATTAATAAGCGTGGATTTTTTAAAAATTATTTTTTTTAAATATATTAATATGCGTGGATTTTTTAAAAATTATTTTTTTAAATGTATTAATAAGCGTGGATTATTTAAAAATTATTTTGTCAATTATTTTTGTTGGTAATTAGATTATTGTAACAGATGTTACATTGTATTGGCAACTCGATCTTAACATCGAATACGACTCTGCAACCCAATCGCATATTTGTTTTATCCTAATTCCTTTTTAGCTTTACATTGTCTTATGTTTTCTACTACTGTTTAGTTCAATAAACGAATTCACTGAATACGGTCGTGTGTTTTATTCTAACAGAAGGTTTAGTTTCAACAAAGGTTATGGGCCCAGAGCCACGCGTTATACTGTGAGAAAAATATTGATTAAGAATATTGTTTTTATAAAAAAAAAAAAAAAATGAATTCAGTAGCTAACGTGGAGAAATTGGACAGTGAGAATTATACAACATGGTCCATACAAATGAAAAGTTTGCTGATAACTTTGGATATGTGGAATGTGATTCAGGAACAGTGTCCAACGGATGAATCCAAAAAGGCCAATTGGATAGCAATTGATCAAAAGGCTCTGGCAGTGATTAATTTAAGTGTGAAGCCGAGTGAGTTAATAACATTAAAGATTGCACAACTGCCAAGGGTGCATGGAACACTTTGTGTGGACTGTACAAGGCCAACACGGCATGTAGAAAAGTAAATCTCTTTAAAAGATTGGTACGTTTCAAAATTAGCTCTGGTCAACGGCTGTCATCACAAATCGGAGAATTCCGAGGCATAATAGACGACCTGAAAAGTATTGGTTTGGAGTTGAACGACGATTTTGTTGCTGTATTGCTGCTGTGCGCTCTACCAGAAGATATGGAAAATTTTGTTGTTGCTGTCGAGAGCAGAGACGAGTTGCCTGGTATAGAGCAGCTCATTTCAAAAGTTCTTGAGGAGGAACGTCGACAAGGCGACAAGAACGGTGGTGAGGACAAGGTGTTTTCGGCAAACGAGAGAAATAAACACGACAAGCGTAATCGGAGCAACAAATTCGGGGGAAAAAATAACAACGCAAAGGCTGAGAAAGACTTTAAGCACAGCAACGTTAAATGCTACAAATGTGGACAGCTAGGCCACATTCGTGCTCAGTGCAAGAAAAGCAATGATGAGTCGGTTGCGTCGGCGTTTAATGCTGTTGACAAAAATGTAAGCAACAGCGCATGGATTTTAGACAGCGGTGCTTCATCGCATATGAGCAGTCGCAGAGAATATTTTCAAGAATTTGAGCAAAAGAGACAAACAATTTTGTTGGCTGACGGAGACGAAGTGTACGCAGAGGGAAGAGGAACGGTCGTTATGAAAACGAAATATATGAAAATAACACTGATGAATGTTTTGTTTGTTCCCTCTCTACACTCAAATTTTTTGTCTATTAGCAAATTTATCGAGGCTGGTCATACGGTACATTTTGCAAAATTCGGTGCGACTATCATGAGCAAGGCAAATAGAAAAATGATGTATGCGTCAAAGAAGAACGGTATATTTTTTGCAGAGTACGAAAAAGTAAACACGGCTGAGTGTTTGAATAACGTCGGAAAAGGAGGTGATTTTGAGAGATGGCATTCTCGTTTCGGTCATCTTAATAGCAGAGATTTGAATTCTCTGAGCAGCAAGGGTATGGTCAGGGGGCTGGATTTAAAAATGCCCAAAGATTTTAAATGTATGACCTGTGCTGTTGGTAAAATTTCAACGAAATCTTTCCCTTCGTACTCTCAAGTAAATACAAAGGCGGTTCTGGAATTGGTACACACTGACTTATGTGGGCCTTTTAGAGTTCGCTCTCAAGGTGGTGCTTTGTATTTAATGACAATCACGGATGACTATTCCAGATTTATATTTACTTATTTTTTGAAAAATAAATGTGATGCCTTTGAGGTTTTCAAACTTTTTACTGCGATGGCGGAGAAGCAGAGTGGCCGCAAATTGATGAAAGTGAGAAGCGATAATGGAAAAGAGTACTTAAACAGTCGTTTCAAAGAATTCTTCGAAAAAAACGGAGTGCTACACCAGACGACCATCAGTCACACGCCACAGCAGAACGGCGTGGCAGAGCGCGCAAACAGAACGTTGATCGAAATGGCTCGGTGTATGCTGCATGAATCGGGTCTGCCGCCAGGATTATGGGCAGAGGCTGTCAACACAGCTGCATACATTAGAAACAGAAGCCCAACGAAAGTTTTAGGAGAGGTAACACCGTATGAAAAATGGTACAGCAAGAAACCGTCGGTTGCGCATTTTAAGACGTTTGGCTGCGACGCTGTAGTCTTGCAGAAACAACGCACTGGAGGAAAATTAGAACCGAAGGGAGTAAAAATGAAGTTCGTCGGTTACGAAAATTTTTCGAAGGGGTATCGTTTATTCAACACGGAGAGAAGAGAGATCGTCAAGGCAAGAGACGTTATATTTTTTGAGAGCTCATTCGAGAATGCGGAGAGCACTAGCAAAACCGTCGATGAGTTGAATGTAAATATTTTCTACCCCGCAAACGAAATTGATGGTGGCGATGCTAGCAATGACGTAGCAACAGACGATGTACAGCAAGACGACAACTTCGAAACGGCAAGCGAAGAAGAAACACAATATGAGAGTGAAACCGAAATAGAACAAAGCGATGCTGGCGGTACACAGAGTAACGAAACTCAATTGAAAAGAGGACGGGGAAGACCAAAACTAATAAGAACTAAAATGAAAGGACGCCCGAGAAAAGTGTACGTAACAGACAGAGAATTACTCAATACCATCGTAGAAGACCCTCAAACGCTGAAAGAGGCATTGAAATCAGACGAAGCTGATGAGTGGAAAAAAGCCATGAATGCCGAATATCAGTCGATAATAAAGAACAAGACATGGGATTTGATTGACAGGCCAAAATCTGGAAATATTATTGGTTCGAAATGGGTGTTTTCCATAAAAAGAAGAGCTGACGGAACGGTGGAGAGATATAAGGCGAGGTTGGTAGCTCAGGGGTGTTCCCAGCGATATCAAGTGGACTACCATGAAACATTTGCGCCTGTGGTACGTCACTCAACCATTCGAATTGTTTTGGCTTTGGCTGTTCAGCATGAGTTATTGATTCATCATATCGACATAGTGGCAGCGTACTTAAACGGCGACCTCGAGGATGACGTTTACATGGAGCAACCACCAATGTTTAAAGATCCCAACAATGAGAGGAAAGTATGCAAATTGAAAAAAGCATTGTATGGTTTGCGTCAGGCAGGTAGAGAGTGGAATAGAAAAGTAACGGAAATTATTCTCTCAATGAATTTTCAACGATGCCAAACGGACAACTGTGTTTACTTTCAAAGGGACGGTGACTGCATTGTTATAATTGCTCTGTATGTGGATGACATGATTCTGGCTGCGTCGACGAAAGAGAAGATAAACGAAATCATAACAAAACTTAATAATGAAGTTGAAGCAGATGATCGCGGTCCGATTTCTTTTTATCTTGGAATGCAAATTGAGAGAGATGGAGAAAGAGGCTCTATTCGCATTCATCAGGAGGAATACACAAAACAATTGCTACAGAATTGGGGGATGCAGAATTCGAAACCTGTATCAACACCATGGGCTAATGGCACAACTTTAAGCAAATGTGAAGGCGACGGGTGCGAGTACAATATGAAAGAATATCAAAGCTTGATTGGAAGTCTTATGTACTTGGCTGTTATATCCAGGCCGGATATATCCCATGTTGTGTCAAGGCTGTCACAATTTAACTCCCACCCTCATGCTGAACATATGCAGGCTGCAAAATACTTGTTGCGTTATTTAGTTAAACATCCTGGTGGTAAGATCACTTACACTAAAAATGGTCAGAATGTTTTCTGTTTTACAGATGCTGATTGGGGATGCGACTCATGCGACCGCAGGTCATTCTCTGGGTTTGTTATGTTCCTAACAAACGGTGCAGTAGCATGGGAGTCCCGTAAGCAATCTGTAGTCGCACTTAGTTCAATGGAGGCTGAGTACGTGGCTCTATGTCAAGGGGCCAAGGAAGTAATTTTCACGAGAAGTCTGCTTCGTGAAATGTGTTTTGCTGAATATGTTCGAGAACCTACGAGTATTTACTGCGACAACCAAGGGGCAAATTTTATGGTTAGAAATCCGGCTGTACATAAACGCAGTAAACACATTGACATAAAATACCACTACATAAGAGACAAATACAACGAAGGTTCTGTTGATGTGGAATATATACCTTCAGAGGAGAACGCAGCTGACATATTCACAAAAGTCTTGATGAAGCAGAAACATGTTGTGGCATGTGAACTTTTGAAATTAGAATTGTAATTGGAATTTTATTACATTGGAATTAATTTTGAATTTGAATTGAGGAATTTTAAAGTAAATTGAAATGAATTTTTGTAAATGCATTTGGGTTGAGCCGGGATATGTTGGTAATTAGATTATTGTAACAGATGTTACATTGTATTGGCAACTCGATCTTAACATCGAATACGACTCTGCAACCCAATCGCATATTTGTTTTATCCTAATTCCTTTTTAGCTTTACATTGTCTTATGTTTTCTACTACTGTTTAGTTCAATAAACGAATTCACTGAATACGGTCGTGTGTTTTATTCTAACAGAAGGTTTAGTTTCAACAATTTTTTTTTTTTATTTATTTTTTCAGATTTTTTTTTTATTTAATTTATTTTTTTAATTATTTTTTTAATTATTTTTTCAATATATCTTACCCATTGTACCCCTTTCTCTTTATCCCCATCATTCTCTCCCAATTTCTCTCTCCCTAAAAACGTTCATTAATTTTAATTATTTTTTATTTTTATTTATTAAATTCGACTTTTATTAATTCAAAATCAAATTTCAAACATTTACAAAATTATAAAAAATAAAAAAAATTATTGTTTCTTTTGAAAAATATAAATCTAAAAATTATATATAAATATTTGCACATTAATTATTTGTTTACTTATATATGGGTGATCTTATGTGTGTGAGTATGTTGTGGCACTTGAAGATATTTTGTATTTTGTGGTGGAATTATTAAATGCGAGACGTGATGAGTGGCGGTAGCTGCAGACGGCGGCGACTGGGCAACATGTCCTGGCTGTAGAGTGTGAGTGTGATGAGAGCCTGCTTGAAGTTGCGCATGAGTTGGTGGTTGGTTAAATGAGCCAAAATGTTGCAACTGTTGTTGTTGTTGTAGCAGTTTTACACGTTCTGTTGTTTTTTCCGACTAATCTGGTTCTTCCTCAATGTCCAGGTTTAGGAATTCTGCTACCTTTATGGGCTGTAGCCATAGATCCTCTGGACGGAGTTGGGTAGGCTTGGCAGGACAATTAAACAAATGCAGCGTGTTGTGCGGGCCTGTATCACACGCTGGGCAGGCGTTCCGCACATCCTCATCAATTCGTGCCCAATACGAATTGAGACGGCTGCACCATCCTGAACGTAGTTGGGCCAAAACTACCCTGGTTTGCCTAGGCAGCCGACGTTCTTCAGCTGCAATGGATGGGGGGTGGACTCCGAGTATGGCATTCATACTGTAATTATTGACTACCTCTGCGACTGCATCAGTATGAATGCTATTCAGACCTGCTTGATAGGCTTCATGATCTAGAGGCTCTCTCTTATATCGCTGGACCTCTCTCTCTAGATCGTGCAGGTCCTTCCTGACACGCCTGGGTGGGGGAGTTCTATCCACCATATGGTGGTTAGGGTGACTCCCGCGATAACACCCAAGCAGGTACTGCAACGAAAGCATATGATTATGCTGACGTAAGGGAAGAACCTTCGTCTCCTCATGTAAGTGGTCCACAGGCGTCATGAGGAGGCACCCTGTTGCAGTTCTCAGGGCGGCATTCTGGCAGGTCTGAATACATTTCCACTGCGTTGCACTTGTATTCGCCGACCACACTGGAGCCGCATAGCTAACCACAGACCGACCTATCGCTTTATAAGAGGTCAACAAGGTTTCTTTATCCGCACCCCAAGTGCTGCCGGCTAGCGCCTTGAGGACCTTGTTCCTACTTTTCATTTTATCGCAAATAGCTGTGGCTTGCGCGGAAGACTTGAACATGCTATCGAATGTGACCCCAAGAATTTTGGGGTAGTTGGTGGTCGGAATTATATGCCCCTCGACCTGCACATTCAGCTGTGTTCTCATCTCCGCAGTCCATGTGGTAAATAGTGTGGCCGTCGATTTAGTGGCGGATATTTTCATATTCCTCGCGTGGAAGAAGGCGGCAAGCTCCGCGAGATAATTATTCACCCTGACACATATGTCATCAACTACAGGACCCGACGCCATGATCGTACAATCATCCGCATAAGTTACGATCTCGATGCCGTCTGGAGGGCGCGGAATTCCGGAAAGGTAGAGGTTAAACAGTTCCGGAGATATCACCCCACCTTGGGGAACTCCCTGTTTCACTCTACGAGGCTTGGACTTCTTATTCCGGAATTCCACGTACGACTGGCGTCCACACATATAGTTGACTATCCAACGTTTCAAACTTGGCCGGAGGGTAGTGTTCTCAACGTCCTCGAACAGCGTGGCATGGTTGACCGTATCAAAGGCCTTTGATAGGTCGAGAGCCACCACTACTGTTCTGTGGCACGGCCTGTTCTGGTTGAGTCCTCGACTGATATGTGTGGATATGGCGTGCAATGCTGTTGTAGTGCTATGTAGTGGACGGAAACCGTGTTGATGGTTAGCAACTGAATAGCTTCCTCTGATACTGGGGAGGAGTAAGGCCTCGAGAGTCTTTGCTACTGGCGACAAAAGCGAAATTGGCCTGTATGATTCGCCTTTGCTGGCATCCTTGCCAGGCTTCAGTAGCGGGACCACCCTGCCCATTTTCCAGGCTTCGGGAACTATGTGGGTGGCTAACGACAAGTTAAGGACTTTGGTTAAATACTCAACTCCCGGCGTATCCAGTTGCTTCAACATTACCATTGATATTCCGTCCGGGCCCAACGCTTTAGATGACTTAGCGTTTCGGATGACATTCGCAACATCACCCATCGTAAACTGTGGAGGTACATCCTCGGCGGGAAGAGCTCTTATACGACGTAGTACTCTTCGCCTCGCCCTATCACTCTCGGGGTGCTCGACAAATTGGCGGCTAAAACAGCCAGCGCACCTCTTCGGATCAGTCACAGTTACGTCGTTAAATGTGACTGCTGTCCTATCATCCTTTTTCCCAGGGTTCGAGAGTGACTTTACCGTTACCCACAGTTTACTCAAATCGGTTCCGATGTTGCAACACTTCAGATGGTCTAGCCACTTTTTCCGCTTATGCTCCTGTACCAACCGGTTGACTTCCACTGTCAGTTCACTGACTCTGGGATCAGTAGGGTTGGTACGTCGGAGCTCATCACGCTCATTCGCTAATCCCGCTGCCTCTGCTGGGAAATTTGGTCTTACTTCGGGTATTCGACCAGCAGGTATATAGCGAGCGGCTGCAGCTTTGATGATGTCCCGGAAAATCCTTTCAGCTACCCGAACATCAGAAGGATTGGGCAGTTCTCTGAAGCGAAGGTTGGTGAACTCTCTGAACTCGGGCCAGTGGGCTTTCCCATGGTTAAGGAAAGTGCGGCGTTCAGAGGTTATGAAATCGGGCGATCTGCTGATGGAGACGATTATCGGGAGATGGTCTGAGCCAAGAGAAATGACGGGTTGCCAAGTCACGTCATTTATCAGACCGGGTGACACGATGGTTAAGTCTGGCGAACTGTGACACTCTCCTCTTATTCGGGTGGGGGCATCCTCGTTTACCGTGCAAAATGTGGAGCAGTCAATCTGCTCTGCCAACGCTGATCCCCTCTGGTCATTACCTAGGACGGAATGCCACAACTCATGGTGGGCATTGAAGTCCCCTAGTACCAGGCGGTTATTGCCTTCCAAAAGTGGGCTTATATTAGGCAAGTAACGCGGTTCACAGCTATTAACCGGCGGGATATACACATTAAGCACCTCTACCTCGGCAGTACCACACTTGACTGCTACCCCCATACACTCCATGTACGGGTCACTAGAGACTAGCTCAAGCGAGATAGGTCTGTATTGAACAGAATGGTGTATCAGGAACGCTAATCCCCCACCTCCACTTCTGGTGCGATCTTTCCTCAATACGTTGTAACCATTGCAACGTTGTAAGCTACAATTTTCATTGAGCTTGGTTTCCTGCACCGCTGCGATCTTGATATTCCTCCGATTCATAAAATCCACTATCTCATCAATTTTACCTCGGAGTCCGTTGCAATTGAACTGCAAGAACGATGCATTGTCCGGAATTGGAACAGCAACATGTGGCGTTAAGTGCTGCGGTAAAGGTTGCTGTTCTGGAGACTGCGGGGGAGTTCCATACTCCGACGACGACTCGGAAGTTGACGACGAGGTCGTGGACTCACTGGGGACTACGTTGGTGCAGCACGAAGCAACATAGTCCCTATCGCTATAGTCTCGCAACCGGGTTAAACCGGAACAATTTCTAAAATGCACCCATCCTCTGCATCCATTACATCGCACCGAGACTGATCTATGGTGGATGGTGTTTTGGCAAACCGTACAGAACCATGGTCCGGGGTTTTCCTCAAGCCCGGCACGGACCAAAAGAATCCGGAGCAAGCATTCCGGGATGTGCTGCTCCCAAAACAGAAAAATAAACAAACACGAACATGTATACACTGGGTTGGCAGCCGCTGGCCGAAACTGGAGTGTTGTTGTTTCGGGTCAATCCGGTGTCGTAGAACCCGCTGCCGTGGGATTGCAACTGTTGTTGAGCCGGGTTGGGTTGTAACGGCTGGGATTGCTGATGTTGGTGTTGCTGTTGCATCTGCTGCTGCTGAGGTTGGGCCTGACTATGATGCTGTGGTATATAAACATTATGCTGGGTGGAATGATGATGTGGCTTTGTATGTGCGTGGTGTTGCTGATGATGTTGATGATGCTGCATGGCTGTGGGATATCGAATCTCATCGTAAAGATGGGAATCCATGCTACCCTTTCGAGACTTCGGTGTCACCACCGAATACAAAGACTCCTTGCGTGCATAAGCATATGAATTAATGGTGGGTGCGGGTGATATTGAGGAACTATTACTGGGTGAGTCATACAAGTCGGGTCCTGAGGGGAGAAAAAAAAAGAGAAAGAGAGAGGGATAATAAAATTTGTTTAAAAAAATCACAAAAAATGCCTTTGTTTCATTTTCTTCCTGTTCTCCGCAAGACACTTACATACCCTCGATTTTATTGCGCACCATCTGGGTAAAGGCTGGCAGATCCGGCAGGGGCTTGAGAAAACTTTTACCCAGTGTTCCGGTATTGCCGGGCTGCAAGTGGCCGCCGCTATTTAAATCCTGCATATGTTGATCATTGGTGTAGGCCGTCAGAGGTGTGGGCGGTGTAACAATGATGGGGGAATTTAAGTTGGGACTCGGCACCAAGCTGACATTGCGTGCAGCCAAGGCAGCCTCCACCTGGGCCTTTTGTAAATTATAGCGCCTATAGACATAAACCAAACCTATGCCAATGCCAAACATAATCACTAGTAAAATGATCAGAAGCGTTGTAAGCAGACTATTTTCATGATCCGAATTGTGGCTGTCATTGGAATTTTGAGTCTCCTCCTTCTTGGTTGGGTGGCCACCAAAACCGGCCAAATTTAGTTTTTCCTCCTGACTAACATTGTTCTGTTGTCCCGGCCATCCAGTGATGACATGTATCACCTCTGGGGTCTTGGCGGCGGCATGTAAATTATCCAGCAGTCCCTGACCTTGTTGATGGACTATTATTTTGGGGGTGTGAGGTACTTCGGGTTCCTGTTTGATGACAATCACCTCGGGTATAGTTGGCGCCACCGTGGTTACTTCCAAAATCTGGGGTGGCAGGCTTATGGGCTCCGACGTAGTACTCGTGGCTATATTGACAATATTCTTCGCAATTCGATCCAAATTGTGGGTGATGTTAACAATTGTGGAATTTAGCGTGGCAATCATAACATGAGTGGCATTTGGGGCCAAAGTGGGGTCAAGTGCTGGGGAATCACACGCTCCCGTCTGGGGGTGACAGAGCTTGTTTTCACATTCACAGGCCTTGCGACACATTACGCCATAAGTGCCCTTGGGGCAGGGCTTTTCACAGCTGGAAGAAGAGAAAAACAATGAGTTGAGGAGTGAGTTGTAATTAAATTAAAAGCGTGGAGGTTTTAAAGTAAATTTGGGTTTTCAAATTATTTATAAAAGTGATTTTTTAAAAAATAATTTTTCGACATATATATATGCGTGGATTTTGTAAAAATTATTTTTTAATTTCAATTTTTTTATTTTATATACAAAAGCGGATTTTTTAAAAATATTTGTTTTTTTGTGTGGATTTTTTAAATATTTCTTCTTCGTGGATTTATTAAAAATATTTTTTAATAAACGTGGATTTTTTAAGAATATTTCTTAATAAACGTGGAATATTTTTTTTTTTTAATTTTATATAGTGAATTTTTTGTTAAAATTATTTTTTAAATTAATTTTTAAGCGTGTAATTTTTAAATTATTTTTTATTATAAAAATATTTTTTATTTTGTATTATAAAAAATATAAATTATTTTTTATTATGTATATATATTACTATTGTATTTAAACGTGGATTTGTTAAGAAAATATTTTTTAAATTTATATTTAAGCATTGATTTTTTAAAAAATATCTTCAAAATTATGATTTTTCGAAAAAAAAAATATTTTTGCTTTATATTTAAGCGGGGCTTAAAAAAAATATTTTTTAAAATTATATATTAGCGTGAATTTTTTAAAAAATATTTTTTAATTATATTTATGCGTGGATTTTTTAAAATATTTTTTTAAATAATATTTAAACGAGGATTTTTTAAAATATATATTTTTTTAAATAAAATTATATTTAAGCGCGTTTTTTTAAAGCATTTTTTTAAATTAAATTAAGGCGTGGATTTTTTAAATTATATTTAAGCTCATTTTTTTAAAACATTTTTTTTAATTAAATTAAATTTTTAAAATATATTTTGTAAAATTATATTTAATCGTGCATTTTTTAAAACATATTTTTTTGATTTATTTTAGAGCCTTGATTATTTATTATATATTATTATATAAAATTATATTACACCGTTGATCTTTTAAAATATATTTTTTAAAATTATATTTAAGCGAGGATTTTTTAAAAGTACATTTAAACGGGATTTTTTTAAAATATTTTTTTTTGAAATTAAATTAAAATAAGTCGTGGATTTTTTAAAATAATTTTTTTTAAATTAAATTAAGGCGTGGATTTTCTTAATTCTTTTTTTAATTTTGTTGTTGCAATTTGGTCAGGCTTAATCCTTTGATTGTTGTTTTTATAAAAACAACGTTTGTGGTAATGTCTACCATGGGAGCTGATGAGGATTGGTGGCTCTTTCCGAAGCCTAGGTATTCCCTGCCTTACACCCGGGTAAACATTATTATCTTTCTCCACTGAGAAACAACAAACATTAAGCCTGACCATTTTGCAACAACAAAATACTATGGTATCCCGAACAAACAAGCCAACACAGTTCTATTTTTTTTAAACTATATTTAAAAAATATGTATTAAAATTATTTAAAAAAAAATATTTTTCAAAATTAAGATAAAATTAAGATTTTTGTAAGATATATTTTTTGAAATTATTTTTAAGAAAATATTTTTAAAATTATATTTATCAAAGGAAGCTTTATAGAAAATATTTCTTAATATTATATTTTTTAGAAAAATATTTTTTAAAAATATATTTAAGCGGTGGTTATTTTTAAGAAAATATTTTTTAAAATTATATTTAGGCGGGGATTTTTATAAACATATTTTTTTAAATGATATTTAATCGTGGATTTAAAAACAATAATTTATAACTATGCGTGATTTTTTTTTAAAAATACATATTTTTTAATTTTATAATTAAGTGCAGATTTTTTAAAAAATATTTTTTTAATTATATTTTATTGTGAATTAAAAAAATATATTTTTTTTTAATTTTTAATTATGCGCGGATTTTTTAAAAAATATTTTTACCAATTATGGAGAGTGTATTTTTTAAGAATACTTTTTTAAGAATATATTTAAGAGTGGATTTAAAAAAATATTTTTTTTAATTATATTTATGCGAGGAATTTTTTTAAAAAATATTTTTTAAAATTATATTTAAGCGTGGATTTTTAAAAACTATTGAAATTATTTTTTACTTTTATTTTCAATTGTGGATTTTTTATGAATTATTTTTTAAATTTCTATATAAGCGAGGATCTAATAAATATATATTTATAATTATGTATATTTTTTTCATTTTATATATAAACAAGGGATTTTTAAAAATTATTTTTTGAATTTATAAATAAGCGTAGATTTAAAAAAAATATATTTTTTTTTTCAGTTTATATATAGTTGTAGATTTTTAAAAATGGTTTTATTTATTTTTTAAAAATTATTTCTTTTTAATTTATTTATGAGATAGGACTTTTAATTTATTTTATTTAATATATATATAAAAACGGATTTTCTTAAAATTATATTATTATTAAAATGTGGGGATTTTTTAAAAATTATTTTTTTAATTTATATACAAGCATGTATTTTTTTAAATTAATGTTTTCAATTTATTTATGAGCGTGAATTTTTTAAATTATTTTTTATGTTAAAAGAATATACATAAACGTAGATTTATTTAAATATATAAATGAATATTTTTAAATTTATTTATAAGTGTGGATTTTTTAAAAATTGTTTTTTCAACTTTTTTTATAAATGTGAAGTTTATAAAAAATTTTTATTTAAATTTATTTAAAAGCGTGAATTTTTTATATTTTCTCATTTTATTCTTTAAGGTTGTTTTTTTTCAAATTATTTTTTTTCATTTGAAATAAACGTCGATGTTTTAACAGTATTTTTAATATATATTTTTTTTAATATATTTTTAAGTGTGGATTTTTCTTAAATATTTTTCTTTATTTCCTTATTTATATTATATTGAATAAATTATTAAATTATTTTACATTAGTAATATTTTTTAAATGCTCTATTTTCAATATATTTCTAAGCGTGGATTTTTTAATTTTTTTTTCGTTAGAAGATATAAACTTACAATTCTCCCGTCCATCCCATGGTACAGTGGCATGTCCCCGATTTGTTATCACAGGCGGCTCCATTATGGCACTGACAGACATTTTTGCACTCCAGGCCCCAGTGGTCGTGATCACAACCTGAAAGTTAAAGCATTTTAAAATTTCTCAATTTTATATAAATTTCATTTTTTATTAAATTAATTTTTATTTATTTACGAGCAGTTCCCGCTACTTCGTATTTGGAAAAAATTTGGAGAATTTTAGCTCAATAAATATGCAATTCTTAGTACATTTTTGTACATCTACTTACGCTGTGTACAATGTTTTCCCATATAACCCGGTTCACAGCTACACACATCGGGTTTCAGACAATAGCCCCGACCACAACCACTGCGACAAACCGGTTTACAAACGGTATCATTTATCGATAAATTCCCATCATAGCCGGCACAACAGAAACGTATGGTTCGTGTCTTGGTGATGTTCTGAAACGGGAAACAATTTATCGAATTAAATTTTTTTGTCATCCTAAAAGTATGCTTTGGATTTTATTCACAACGGCTATAGCTGTGGTGAAAGAGTTGTGGTGATGTGGGAAATATGGCATTTTATTAAGAATATTTCACACCAATAACTTTGCGTTCAGTTTACGCAATACATTTCCCACTTGGAATTTGACCTTCAGAGAAATGGGAAAGCTATATACTCAACAATGGAATCTCAATTCTCGATGTCAATTGTCTCCAACAAGTGTCCTCAAATATCTCATCTCACAATTGCTTGCAATACGACGTTTCCCAGGAATAACAATAAAAACTGTTCTTAGCTCTCAAAATATATACTTTAATATATTTTAATCTCTCTCTTTCTCTCTCTCTTTCTCCTACACATACAATATCCCATTATTTCCATTCAGCTAGAGAAAAGTTCAAGTATCATTTAATCGATAGGGGCAACAAAGCAATTGAAGCAGGGCATTTATGGAGTTTCCAATCCCAATGGAGATGGAGATTCTCAGACATGTAATCATCATCTTTGCCACTTAATCTTTGTCCATGTTCTTTTTGGTCTTGTTGTTGTTACTGATTGTGCATTGTTTGCTTATTTGTTACTGTTGTTGCTGTTGCTTTGGTTAGTTGGTTGGTTGGTTCAAGTGACATTCCATTGACCGACCGTTTAGTTGGGGCTCCCTAATGGGCAGTTATTTACGTTATTTGTGAGTGTGTGAGTGGGGGTGGTGGCGAGAGAGGATGCAGAGAGAAAGAGCATTGCATGCATACACGAATTAATAAGCAGGAAATTTCAATGAAGTTGAAGCTGGAGGGTAGTCATAATTCAAAAAAAAAAAAAAAAAAAAAAAAAATACTGCATTTGTTTGTATTGTTCTTTTAGTTGTTTTGTCTGTTAATGGACACAAAATTGGAACAAGAAAACAGTTTGAATTAATTTATTCATGTTGCAAACAAACAAAATAATTTATATAAAACAAAAGAAAATTTAATTAACTAGGAACACAACGTGTTTTCTAAAGGTGATATAGAATTAGTAGCGGAAATTGTTGTAACAATTGGAAGATTAATGGAGGAATAAAGAAAATAATGTTGAAGTTTTATTCAAAAAAATTCCAATTGGAAAATTTTTATACCCTCCAAATACTCATGTCAGACCCAACAAAGTATATATATTCTTGATCAGCGTAAAATTCTATGTCGATTTAGCGATGTCCGTCTGTATGTCTGTCCGTCTGTCTGTCTGTCCGTCTATCTGTTGTAATTACGCTATCTTTCGAACGAATTGAGATAGAAGGATACAATTTTGCACACATGTTTATTTTTACAGTAGGCGGTCCCCGTTTTCATATAGCGGTACCTCCCGATATTCGGTATTTTGATGATTTTAGCGACATTATTTACCGGAAATGTTTCAAATTTGATATTTGAAGTTCCAAAGGGATATTACAGCCTAAGACAGAAAATCGTCTGTGCAGGGCCACGTTTTCGTATAGCACACATATAACGGTACCTCCCAATATTCCGTTTTTTTATGATTTTAGCTACATTATTCACCGGAATTTTTTAAAATTTGGTATTTGAAGTTCGTAATGGATGCTTCAGCCTGTGACAGAAAATTTTCCGTGCAGGTCCACGTCTTCGTATAACCCCCATATAACTGTACCTACCTACATTCGGTATTTTGATGATTTTAGCGACATTATTCACCGGAATTGTTTCAAATTTGGTATTTGATGTTCGCAATGTATAGTTGAGGACTTTTTGGACCCTTTCAAAAACTGCTTTAAAAATCCACGCCTTGAGGACATTTGGAGCCCTCCAAAAATTGTTTAAAAAATCCACGCCTTGAGGACTTTTGGAGCCCTCCAAAAATTGTTTAAAAAATCCACGCCTTGAGGACTTTTGGAGCCCTCCAAAAATTGTTTAAAAAATCCACGCCTTGAGGACTTTTGGAGCCCTCCAAAAATTGTTTAAAAAATCCACGCCTTGAGGACTTTTGGAGCCCTCCAAAAATTGTTTAAAAAATCCACGCCTTGAGGACTTTTGGAGCCCTCCAAAAATTGTTTAAAAAATCCACGCCTTGAGGACTTTTGGAGCCCTCCAAAAATTGTTTAAAAAATCCACGCCTTGAGGACTTTTGGAGCCCTCCAAAAATTGTTTAAAAAATCCACGCCTTGAGGACTTTTGGAGCCCTCCAAAAATTGTTTAAAAAATCCACGCCTTGAGGACTTTTGGAGCCCTCCAAAAATTGTTTAAAAAATCCACGCCTTGAGGACTTTTGGAGCCCTCCAAAAATTGTTTAAAAAATCCACGCCTTGAGGACTTTTGGAGCCCTCCAAAAATTGTTTAAAAAATCCACGCCTTGAGGACTTTTGGAGCCCTCCAAAAATTGTTTAAAAAATCCACGCCTTGAGGACTTTTGGAGCCCTCCAAAAATTGTTTAAAAAATCCACGCCTTGAGGACTTTTGGAGCCCTCCAAAAATTGTTTAAAAAATCCACGCCTTGAGGACTTTTGGAGCCCTCCAAAAATTGTTTAAAAAATCCACGCCTTGAGGACTTTTGGAGCCCTCCAAAAATTGTTTAAAAAATCCACGCCTTGAGGACTTTTGGAGCCCTCCAAAAATTGTTTAAAAAATCCACGCCTTGAGGACTTTTGGAGCCCTCCAAAAATTGTTTAAAAAATCCACGCCTTGAGGACTTTTGGAGCCCTCCAAAAATTGTTTAAAAAATCACGCCTTGAGGACTTTTGGAGCCCTCCAAAAATTGTTTAAAAAATCCACGCCTTGAGGACTTTTGGAGCCCTCCAAAAATTGTTTAAAAAATCCACGCCTTGAGGACTTTTGGAGCCCTCCAAAATTGTTTAAAAAATCCACGCCTTGAGGACTTTTGGAGCCCTCCAAAAATTGTTTAAAAAATCCACGCCTTGAGGACTTTTGGAGCCCTCCAAAAATTGTTTAAAAAATCCACGCCTTGAGGACTTTTGGAGCCCTCCAAAAATTGTTTAAAAAATCCACGCCTTGAGGACTTTTGGAGCCCTCCAAAAATTGTTTAAAAAATCCACGCCTTGAGGACTTTTGGAGCCCTCCAAAAATTGTTTAAAAAATCCACGCCTTGAGGACTTTTGGAGCCCTCCAAAAATTGTTTAAAAAATCCACGCCTTGAGGACTTTTGGAGCCCTCCAAAAATTGTTTAAAAAATCCACGCCTTGAGGACTTTTGGAGCCCTCCAAAAATTGTTTAAAAAATCCACGCCTTGAGGACTTTTGGAGCCCTCCAAAAATTGTTTAAAAAATCCACGCCTTGAGGACTTTTGGAGCCCTCCAAAAATTGTTTAAAAAATCCACGCCTTGAGGACTTTTGGAGCCCTCCAAAAATTGTTTAAAAAATCCACGCCTTGAGGACTTTTGGAGCCCTCCAAAAATTGTTTAAAAAATCCACGCCTTGAGGACTTTTGGAGCCCTCCAAAAATTGTTTAAAAAATCCACGCCTTGAGGACTTTTGGAGCCCTCCAAAAATTGTTTAAAAAATCCACGCCTTGAGGACTTTTGGAGCCCTCCAAAAATTGTTTAAAAAATCCACGCCTTGAGGACTTTTGGAGCCCTCCAAAAATTGTTTAAAAAATCCACGCCTTGAGGACTTTTGGAGCCCTCCAAAAATTGTTTAAAAAATCCACGCCTTGAGGACTTTTGGAGCCCTCCAAAAATTGTTTAAAAAATCCACGCCTTGAGGACTTTTGGAGCCCTCCAAAAATTGTTTAAAAAATCCACGCCTTGAGGACTTTTGGAGCCCTCCAAAAATTGTTTAAAAAATCCACGCCTTGAGGACTTTTGGAGCCCTCCAAAAATTGTTTAAAAAATCCACGCCTTGAGGACTTTTGGAGCCCTCCAAAAATTGTTTAAAAAATCCACGCCTTGAGGACTTTTGGAGCCCTCCAAAAATTGTTTAAAAAATCCACGCCTTGAGGACTTTTGGAGCCCTCCAAAAATTGTTTAAAAAATCCACGCCTTGAGGACTTTTGGAGCCCTCCAAAAATTGTTTAAAAAATCCACGCCTTGAGGACTTTTGGAGCCCTCCAAAAATTGTTTAAAAAATCCACGCCTTGAGGACTTTTGGAGCCCTCCAAAAATTGTTTAAAAAATCCACGCCTTGAGGACTTTTGGAGCCCTCCAAAAATTGTTTAAAAAATCCACGCCTTGAGGACTTTTGGAGCCCTCCAAAAATTGTTTAAAAAATCCACGCCTTGAGGACTTTTGGAGCCCTCCAAAAATTGTTTAAAAAATCCACGCCTTGAGGACTTTTGGAGCCCTCCAAAAATTGTTTAAAAAATCCACGCCTTGAGGACTTTTGGAGCCCTCCAAAAATTGTTTAAAAAATCCACGCCTTGAGGACTTTTGGTTCCTTCCAAAAATTGTTTAAAAAATCCACGCCTTGAGGACTTTTGGTTCCTTCCAAAAATTGTTTAAAAAATCCACGCCTTGAGGACTTTTGGTTCCTTCCAAAAATTGTTTAAAAAATCCACGCCTTGAGGACTTTTGGAGCCTTCCAAAAATTGTTTAAAAAATCCACGCCTTGAGGACTTTTGGAGCCCTCCAAAAATTGTTTAAAAAATCCACGCCTTGAGGACTTTTGGTTCCTTCCAAAAATTGTTTAAAAAATCCACGCCTTGAGGACTTTTGGAGCCTTCCAAAAATTGTTTAAAAAATCCACGCCTTGAGGACTTTTGGAGCCCTCCAAAAATTGTTTAAAAAATCCACGCCTTGAGGACTTTTGGTTCCTTCCAAAAATTGTTTAAAAAATCCACGCCTTGAGGACTTTTGGTTCCTTCCAAAAATTGTTTAAAAAATCCACGCCTTGAGGACTTTTGGTTCCTTCCAAAAATTGTTTAAAAAATCCACGCCTTGAGGACTTTTGGAGCTCTCCAAAAATTGTTTAAAAACTCCAGACCTTTCGGTCTTTTGGACCCTTCCAAAAAA